TTGCAACTGGTAAATGAATATTTTCATTTAGTCTTCCTTTGCATGCATTTAATTTCTAATAAATCAGAGGAGTTTCCGAAATGCATAGTGATGCAATATACTGCCCCAAGCCTCTCAGATTAGCCCCATTTCCAAAGTATTTTTTAAACTAATGTTATTCCCCTTTGTTAGGAAACTCAATTGTCTATATGAAGACAATCTTGTTTATCATAAGTTTAAGAGTTTATGATGATTGTATTTTAGTGTGTGGTGATGAACCTGTGGAGAACATGCCACGGGGGGCTGTTTGTCGTCATTGAAAGCTCTAAAAGATTTGCTATCACTGTTTTAGTCTTGAATCTCTGGGAACTATTTTTTCTAAACTGTGATTTAATACACATACATATAAGTGCTTGTGTTCATGTTTCAGGAAGTGTGTATTATGTTAAACACTCATATTTTTGCACACACACATGTGTATATCAGTTGTATATTAGGATATGTCTTTTTCCTTAAAAAGAAAATATTATGTTTGGACAGTCTGATATAAATTGAGTATGTGATAGTGGTGTTGAAATGTTTTTGCTTTACTGCTTCTACTGAAATGGTAAGGCTTTCCTGAAACAACATTTTGTGCTTGTTTTTAAAACAAACCCATGGGTTTATTTTGTAAAAACTCATGAGTATTTTTTATGCATTCATATCCTTTTCAGAATTGTGCTTTGCCAAAGGAAATGTGATTAAGGCCACTCAGGAAGGGTTTTGCTCAGCAAATAAGACACAATGGCTGCATCTCATATCTCGTGTGGCATTCGAAAAAGGGAATGGGAAATTCTGTGGATTTTGTGGAGGGGGAAGTTTATAAGTTTTCAACTCCAGTTAAGTGATAACTCAGATTTACAAAACACCCCAGCCCTCAGCTTGATAACACTAACTGAAATTTAGCTCCAAATCTTCTGTAAAGAAAAGAAGAAATCTAAGTCCTAAAAATTTTATGAAGCCTGGTGGCGATACTAATGGTGCTATTGACAAAACACTTAAATAGATCTACTCTCTCTATGTTCATTTTTGGGCTTCAAATAGTTTAAGATGTACTGGACTCTGGGATTTGTTTTCTCTCCTTACTTTAAGTATTGATAGTATTTGGAGTAAAATATGTTTATGATGAAACCTATAGGAATAAATTTCTGTAAGTCTCTCCTCCCTTACCCTGACTTCAGAATGCACCAGGGTTTACAACTTGCTGTGATATCAGCAATAATTCTGGGCTTTGTAGAGATACAGGGGATAAAGTGGACAAGATTAGGAAGAAATCTCGGTGCTAGAAATGGATGCTTAGCTTCAAAGCATTAAAACGTGCAAAAGACATAGAATGAACATCTTCTCCAAGCTATATGTAAGACCAGTTAAGTCACAATGATTTCTATTTTCCATCTTCTCTTTGGAAACCTAGTTTTCTGCATTTCCCTACAAGTCCAATTGAATATGAGCAGAATGCTAGTCTAAGTCACATTCTTCAGGTATCTATTGCAACAATGTAGCTGATATGAACTAATTTTAATAATTGAATAAAAATGTTAATAAAATGTATATTATATTGAAAAGTTTCTTTTGCAGTTTGAAGACATTGATGTCTTTTGGAACCAGATTTGTAGGGGAGGCAGATGTTATTTGCACATTTTTGTGGCTTTATAAGGAAATATATATTAATGATGTTGACTACTCAAAGTAATGAATATCAAGCACCTCTCTCTGTATATGTATATTTTTTTCTCAGACAAACTGTAAAGTTCACACCTTCACTGGAATGTCTTGGTGGCCCAGCTAATGGCTAGAAAGTGTTCAAAGGATTTTTTTTTTTTTTTTTTTTGT